AATATTTATAAAATTATTTAGACTTCAATTTTGATTGCTCATGAAAGGAAGGAAGAAGAAGCACGTGGGAAATGGAATTTTAACATGAGAAAATTTTGGGGTTTAGTATTTAAAAATGTAGTGCATCTTGGTTTAAGTAAAAAGAAAAATTCAAGAGAACGGAATTCACTATTGGTTCTCAAGGCAGTACCGAGAACCGGACCGAAACCGATCTATTCTCAATGTATGGTGCGATCCATTTAGTAGAGAAACCGGAGTCGAACAACCTGGTTCTATATGGTTCGGTTCCATCAGTTTAGGGAAAAAATGTCCACCCCTACCAAAAATCATACAATAAAAGATTTTCATTTCTCGTTTTAACTACTTTTGGTTTAGGGTCCATCACATTTGTGTAACATTCTCGTGATTCTAAAATTGGTAAAATGGATTTCTACATTTTCATCTTTATGGAAAAAAAATTCTATGTTATACAAGGTAATCTAGTAAGAATGTACCTATAGACAATGCTATCCCCAAACTCCTAAGTTGGGGAATGTAATGCTATCCCTCACAAATCTTGAGTTAGACTCAAATTTGGAGTTCAATGGCTCTTTTAAAAATTGATTATAAGATTGATTCTCTATCAACACGTAAGACAATATCCTCATTTTATTTCTCATCAAACTACTAGTCACCTCAAATGTGTTGAGTAGTGCCTATGTCAATTCACCGTTCTCTTGGGTTATCTACCATTTTTACTTCAAACGTCACCATCAAATATATTGGATTTGACATCCCATAAGACAATGTCTACTTCGACTTGAGTGTCCTTTTGCAAGACGCTAACTAAAGAATATTTATACTTCGACTTTGTGGCCATTAATTTTATATGTTAGCCATGTGAAGATCAACATTTTGTTTTGAAAATCTTTCTTATGAGACAACAATTTTTCAATAGGTAAATATCTAACTGAGTTCATCAGAAAACCAAATGAGAAATTCCTCTTTACAACATACCCATATGATCGATGACTTATGCAATTCTTTTTCTTTTTTCCTCAACCAATGATGAACACAATTGCTGCCACCATTGGACCTAATAACTGGGTTTTCGATTAACACCTACCCATCTATCGGTGAATAAGAAGACACCCTTCAACTAGAAGACATTTTGCTATGCTTAGAGAAAAGTAGGGCCTTTGGTGTTTACCGCGTGTTTGTTGAGTGCTATTTGTTAGGAAAAATGTAAGTCAAGATTGGCAACTAAAGTGAAATTGAGAATAATACAGCAAAAATAGACACAAAATATTTATGTGATTTACCAATTTAGACTACGTCCATAGGCAAGTATAGGAGGATTTCACTATAGTAAGAAAAATTATAATAACCTTCTCTCTAAATACAAGGAAATAGCGACAACTGATTTATCTTCTAAAAGGAGAAACTAAGTAGGAAACACATAGGTAAAATCAGTATATTTCTCTATATAATTTTATGTATCTCTCTACTCAATATTTTTTCTCTCACTAAACCTCACATTTGTTGTAACATTTTTATAATTCCTACATTTGTCATTTTTATGCTACTTACGTTTTCGCTAGGCTAACAGAGGATAGACACCATGTAAACTTTTCAGTATTGATTTGCTTTGTCATATTTGCTAGGTTTTTCTCTATATGAATTTTGTATATCCACACTTCCTTTTTCCACCTTTTCTCAATCAAATGATATTGAACTTGAATGTGCTTTGTCTTCGAGTAAAATACAGAATTCTTTGCCATGTGCAAAGCACTCTAGCTATCACAAAATAAACATTATTCTTTTGTTTGTGTCCGAGCTCCTCCATTAGCATTTGCAACAAGATTGCCTCTTTGCTAGCTTATGTAGTTTCTATGTATTATGCCTCCCTCGTAAAAGTAGTCACGATAGATTGTAGTTTTCAAACCCAACTTACAACTCCTCCAACAAGAGTAAACACATCACCTGTGGTGGATTTATTTTTGTCAAGATCACCTGCATAATTTGAGTCAACATAAGTTCTAACAGTAAAATTTGATCCTCCATAACATGATATAGCATTTGAGGTACCCTTGACATATCTCAAGCACCTCTTTATAGCACTCCAATGCTCTTTACCTGGATTCGCCATGTACCGACTAACCCCTCCCACTGCTTGTGCAATGTCTGGTCTAGTACAAACCNACATATCTCAAGATCCTCTTTATAGTACTCTAATGCTCTTTACTAGGATTTTTCATGTATCAACTAACCACTTCCACTACTTGTGCAATGTCTAATCTTATACAAATCAAAGCAAAAATTAAGCTACCCACTACTGATGCGTATAGTACTTGAGACATCTCCATCGTTGCTATAACTTATACTTGAGGATAACTTGAAATTATTAGAAAGATAGGTAGAAATTGGCTTACAATGTTACATATTGAAACGATGCAAGATTTTCAAGTAGTTCTTCTGATAAAGCCAAATCTTCCTATTATTTTTATCTCGATAAATTTGCATCCCTGGAATCTTGTTTACTGGTCTCAAGTCCTTCATTACAATTTTCCTAGCCAACTATGTCTTCAAATCTTTGATATGATCTTTGATGGGGCCTAGTACCAACATGTCGTTAACATCCAACAATAGAATATTGAAATCACAATCTCTAAATCTCATGTAGTAAGCAAAGGATATGAACTGAGTTAGTTGTATCCAAAGCTCATGATGAAGGAATCGAATATCTTATACCAATATCTTAGCACCTATTTGCAACCGTATAGAGATTT